AGAATACAGCTATAAGCACAGGCAAAATCCTAGAGGAAAACCTGGTTCAGTGTGCTTTCCAACAGACATGGGGAGATTAATTCACCTTTCAGCATGACAATAACCTAAAACACAAGGCCAAATCTACACTGGAGTTGCTCACCAAGACAACATTGAATGTTCCTGAGTGGCCTAGTTACAGTTTTGACTTAAATTGTCTTGAAAATCTATGGCAAGACATGAAAATGGCTGTTTAGCAATGATCAACAATCAACTTGACATTTTTAAAATAATAATGGGCAAATATTGTACAATCCAGGTGTGTAAAGCTCTTAGAGACTTACCCCAAAAGACTCACACCTTTAATCACCACCAAAGGTGCTTCTACAAAGTATTGACTTAAGGGTGTGAGATAGACTTCATCACTACTTGGAGAGATTGACTTCATCACTACTTGTATTTATGAGAGGTATTGACATGTTGAATGCACCAAGCTGTCTGTTTGAACTACTGGCGAACAGCTCGGACACCCACGCATACCACACAAGACATGCCACAAGAGGTCTCTTCACAGTCCCCAAATCCAGAACAGACTATGGGAGGTGCACAGTACTACATAGAGCCATGACTACATGGAACTCTATTCCACATCAAGTAACTGATACAAGCAGTAAAATTAGATTTAAAAAACTGATAAAATACACCTTATGGAACAGCGGGGACTGTGAAGCAACACAAACATAGGCACAGACACATGCATACACGCGATAACATACGCACTATACACACACATACACATGGATTTTGTACTGTAGATACAGTGGGGGAAAAAAGTATTTAGTCAGCCACCAATTGTGCAAGTTCTCCCACTTAAAAAGATGAGAGAGGCCTGTAATTTTCATCATAGGTACACATCAACTATGACAAACAAAATGAGAAAAAAAAATCCAGAAAATCACATTGTAGGATTTTTAATGAATTTATTTGCAAATTATGGTGGAAAATAAGTATTTGGTCAATAACAAAAGTTTCTCAATACTTTGTTATATACCCTTTGTTGGCAATGACACAGGTCAAACGTTTTCTGTAAGTCTTCACAAGGTTTTCACACACTGTTGCTGGTATTTTGGCCCATTCCTCCATGCAGATCTCCTCTAGAGCAGTGCTGTTTTGGGGCTAAAGCTGGGCAACACAGACTTTCAACTCCCTCCAAAGATTTTCTATGGGGTTGAGATCTGGAGACTGGCTAGGCCACTCCAGGACCTTGAAATGCTTCTTACGAAGCCACTCCTTCGTTGCCCGGGCGGTGTGTTTGGGATCATTGTCATGCTGAAAGACCCAGCCACGTTTCATCTTCAATGCCCTTGCTGATGGAAGGAGGTTTCCACTCAAAATCTCAGGATACATGACCCCATTCATTCTTTCCTTTACACGGATCAGTCGTCCTGGTCCCTTTGCAGAAAAACAGCCCCAAAGCATGATGTTTCCACCCCCATGCTTCACAGTAGGTATGGTGTTCTTTGGATGCAACTCAGCATTCTTTGTCCTCCAAACACGACGAGTTGAGTTTTTACCAAAAAGTTATATTTTGGTTTCACCTGACCATATGACATTCTCCCAATCCTCTTCTGGATCATCCAAATGCACTCTAGCAAACTTCAGACGGGCCTGGACATGTACTGGCTTAAGCAGGGGGACACGTCTGGCACTGCAGGATTTGAGTCCCTGGCGGCGTAGTGTGTTACTGATGGTAGGCTTTGTTACTTTGGTCCCAGCTTTTGCTCACCGTTCTTGTGATCATTTTGACCCCATGGGGTGAGATCTTGCGTGGAGCCCAGATCGAGGGAGATTATCAGTGGTCTTGTATGTCTTCCATTTCCTAATAATTGCTCCCACAGTTGATTTCTTCAAACCAAGCTGCTTACCTATTGCAGATTCAGTCTTCCCAGCCTGGTGCAGGTCTACAATGTTGTTTCTGGTGTCCTTTGACAGCTCTTTGGTCTTGGCCATAGTGGAGTTTGGAGTGTGACTGTTTGAGGTTGTGGACAGGTGTATTTTATACTGATAACAAGTTCAAACAGGTGCCATTAATACAGGTAACGAGTGGAGGACAGAGGAGCCTCTTAAAGAAGAAGTTACAGGTCTGTGAGAGCCAGAAATCTTGCTTGTTTGTAGGTGACCAAATACTTATTTTCCACCATAATTTGCAAATAAATTCATAAAAAATCCTACAATGTGATTTTCTGGATTTTTTTTCCTCAATTTGTCTGTCATAGTTGACGTGTACCTATGATGAAAATTACAGGCCTCTCTCATCTTTTTAAGTGGGAGAACTTGCACAATTGGTGGCTGACTAAATACTTTTTTTTCCCCACTGTATATATATATATGAGTGTTATGAGTCCGTGGTTCCAAATATCAGGGAAGCAGCAACTCTCCAAAACCAGGTTGAATAGTTTTCCCCACTCTATGTGGTAGTATACAATCTGTGAATGTGTTGTAAACTGCCTTAATTTTGCTGGACCCCAGGAAGAGTAGCTGCTGCCTTGGCAGCAGCTAATGGGGCTCCATAATAAATACAAATACAAATACTTATGTAAATGAGATGTTTCTGTATTTAATTTTCAATACATTTCAATAAACATGTTTTCACTTGGGTGGCCAAATAAAATCACACGTGGGCCAAATTAAGCCAGCGGGCCACCAGTTTGGGAACCCTGATGTAGATGGATGTATGATCACTAAGCAGCCAGCCAGTTAGTCAGTCAAATACTATTTTATACTTGTCGATTACATGCGTCCTTTGTCCTGATCTTGCCCACATTCTGATTGTGCCCACATTTTCAGAAATATGTCAATGCATGGTATTAAAATGTGTCTCATATCGGTCCACTGTGTCCGCATTGTGACCAGATTTCTATGTCCCTCCCTGTATGGATATTATTTGACAGCTGTTCTTTCAAAATCGTATTTTTTTTAAAGACACATATTAATGCTATAAGTCAATGGTGCCACCTGTCAATGATTTTAAAAGGCGGGATAATAAGGATCAGAATGCAGCTTTTAATCGTCTACACCTGTCTGAAAATGTGGCCACAATCAGAATGTGGACAACATCAGGACAAAGGATGCAAGTTAGAACCAGGTATAAAATGGGCTTATTAGCAACAGACTGGTAATGAACAGATGGAGTTTCCACACCAGAGGTTGGAGTGACGTCAGGAGGGACAGGGACTGTCAATCAACCAAACCAACATGGGATTCCATAATATACGTAATAATATATGCCATTTAGCAGACGCTTTTATCCAAAGCGACCTAGTCATGCATGCACCATGTGCCATGCTCTACCAACTGAGCTACAGAGGACCACAGCTAGAACCAACCACATAAATCTGGAGCAAGCAGCTTTATTAAAATGTATTAGCAATTATAATGGCCTATTAAACAAGGCTATTATTATAGTGTTATCAAAAGAAGACGTGACATTTTCACTGTTAATTAAAATCCACTTTAATTCCAATATGACACAACATCAACAAATAAACATGCAAGCCTTTTCTATCTCTACATCATGTTATACAAATAATGATTCTGTAGTTACAAAATATATATAAATATGTAGGGCCATTATGTACAGAACATTTACATTACTACATCCATAACTTAAATAACATTTATTTTACTGTTATATACATTTAACAGATATTATTATTGTTATTATTATTATTAAATGTATTATTATGAATCTAGTAGTGGTATAATAACGTTGAAAAACAAAGCATGTTGCAGGAGAAAACGGGACCATATGGGACAGTACTGTGCCTGAATGGCCAAGGAGTAGAGGCTAGAGCTGTCCTTGGTAAGCATGGACGGTGGGCAGTAGGCTATGTAAAGCACACAGCACAGGGTTAGGTTCAACAGGCTATTTATACAGGGTGATAACACGGTCGGCTAGCCAACGATACTGTACATTCAGCAGCTCTTGGTTTCACTGTACGGAATCTAGCACACATTTTCCACAATCATGCAGCCAGCTGGCTGGTTTTGGAGGACTGTGGTGTGTGCCAGGCAGTTTTTGGTTCTCCTTAGTAAGTGATGGACTGATTATAAGTCATTGGTGGATCACTGGTATGAGAGGTCCACTCAGGTGGTTTTCCAAGGTCCAGTAGGTACATATAATATGTGAGCACTTCGGCCCGTAGAGCTCTTGTAGTTGTGTACCATTACTTCTTTGAAACTGAGTCATTTGGGAGCATTCCTTAAACTTTACAGACATGGTGAATTTATCCCCCGTCTGTTTCAAGACGGAAAACAATGCTAAATAGTTGCTAAATTCCAGCATGAATTGCAACTATTTGCTGTATTATTTTATGCCTTGTTGACATACTGAACATTATGCATGCATGAATCCAATTTCTATATATGTTTTAACTGGTTTGAAAAAACAGCTAGTAAATTTACTACGGCAGTACATTTTATGAATAAGTCCAGTATTTCTGTGATGTATCTGTAGATGTATCTCTCTCACACACGCACGCGCACACACACACACACACACACACACACACACACACACACACACACACACACACACACACTGTTTATAACCTTTCTTGTTGTATATAATAAACAGTAAACAATACAAATGTGATGCTCATGCCAATTGTTAGTGACCTGAATCCATGTCAGTCATTGTAAACATTGCAGTTGTGTAAGAAGCCAGTCCTTTGCAGGCTTCCTGTTCTGATTAGATCATACTGTGTAGGTGTACACAAACAACCCCCCCCCCCCCCCCCCCCCACACACACACACACAGAGCCAGTTGTGTAACTCACACACATCAAATATATATATATATATATATGCCTATCTATCTCTCTCTCTCTCTCTCTCTCTCTCTCTCTCTCTCTCTCTCTCTCTCTCTGATACATACACTCTTTCACATACTCTCTCTCCCCCTATCTCTCTCACTTCATTTTTCTCTGTCTCCCTCCCACTCCCTTTCTCCCTTCCTCTCTCTATGAGATGATGCAGTTCTTGCTCTTCCTCCTCTGGCGCATGTGTAGCTGTCCGTGCAGCTGCCCGTGGTTTCCTCCATGTAGGGGTCCATGTAGGGGTCCATGTAGGGGTCCATGTAGGGGTCCATGTAGGGGTCCATGGTGGCCCCCCATCCCTCCCACCCCTGTAGGGCTGTATCTGTGGCGCAGCTCCTCATTGTTGAGGTAGCGTAGCTGGACAGGTCTGGGGATGGGCTCACCCAGGAAGTACCCCTCATCTTCCTCAGACTCAGAGGATGAGGAGCAGCTGGAGAACCAGGGGTCTGCCCCCTCCCCGTACCCCTCACCACCCCAGTATGGCCCCCCCAGGCCCAGCGGCTGCATCCTCCCGCCTCCCGCTGCATTGTGCAGGGTGAGGTCTGAGGTGGTGCGGGGGCAGGGTCTATAAGGCTGCTGTCTGTATCCGCCCATGCCCCCCACCCCAAACAGGTCCCGGGTGGTGCGGCCAGCGGGGAAACGGTCGTAGTCCTCCTGAACGCGACGGTGCGGTGGTTCCATCATGTGATTTGCCCGGTCGGCCGCCAGGTGGAGGGCGTTGTCAGAGCGTGAGCGTCGAGAGCGCCTGTGGTGGCGACCGCTGCTGCGGTGGTTGCCATTTCCATCATTACCGTTGCCGCGGTGTTTGCGTCGCCGTGGTTGCGTTGGTGGTTGTTGTTGCCGTATGAGCTCTGGCTCATTGGGCCGCCGACGAGGTGTCCTTTCACTCATGGGAGGCATGCGGAGGTTGCCACTACTCCCCATCAGGCCCACATGACCTTTACCTTCAAAGGCCAAGGGCTGGGGGGCATCCCAGTACCCCAGGGGGTACCCCAGCTGCACGGGCGCATTCAGGTTCCTGTATGGCCGAGAGGAGGTCAGGGACTCAGAGCTGTGGAACTGGACAGGGGAACCCAGTGTCCCCATGTTGCTCTTCTCAGACACATTCATCCCAGAGTCCTTACTAAGGTCTGGCATGGAGAACCTGGACAGGTGCTCCTGACGCTTACTGACTCCGTCCAGAGAGTTACCTGGGAAAGATACATAGACAGATACATAGACATATTTATGCTCCCAATCAGGTAATAAATTATCATTAGCCATATTATCATATTACAACATATCTACTGTCTATCTTCTAAACTCAGGTGACAGGGTACAGTACCTGTAGCGTTGGACAGGGCCAGAGACTCCATGGATCCTCGGGGGGTTTGTTCCAGAGGGGTGAGGGGCTCTGTGAAGCTAATGCCATTGCTCATGGCGTTCCTGGTTAGGGGGGGCCTGCTGTCCCTCTGGAAGCCATGCATGCTGATGCTCCTTTTGTCTGAGAAGCCCTGGCCTTGGCTGGACACCTCGTTAAAGCTCATCTGGGTCTTTAGCTTGGGTGGCCGGAACTCGTCCTGGCTGTGGTGGATCCAGTTGTCCTGGAAGGATTGGCCCCTCAATGCCGCCATGGGCGTCCGCTTGGTGTTGCCCTGCTCTTTAACCCAGGACTCTGGCCTCTTCCCTGGGTTGCCAGAGCTCTGGGTTGGAGGGTGGGGTTTGGGGCTGGGGCTGTAGCCCTGCCTGGGGTTACACGGGCCCAGGAGCAGGGGCGTGGGGGTTGGAGAGGGGTCCCGCGGGGAGCCCTCATAGGCTGCCTCATATGCTGGGGGGTAAGTTTCGTCCCGGCTCATCCACACCTGGTTGAGACTAGGGGTGCGGCTGGGGGTGCGACTGGGGGTTCGGCTGGATGTTCGACTGGGTGTCTGGCTGGAGCCAAGGCTCAGACGGTCCATATGGATAGACAGGGGGTCCACCTCGACAGACAGACGGTCAGGCATGGGCGCTGGCTGGCGACGCTCCTGCTCGGCATTTCGGTGATCCTGTTTTATGATCTTGGTGCTGTGGCGGGACTCACGGGAGCGGGCACTCTGGAAGGCCGAGTCCGAGGAGTCGGATTCATCTGGGTCCTGATTGATGGAATTGATTACATAATTTAAATACATAGAAAACACACATACAAGTGTCACCAGAACAGTCAGTTAAATGCTGATTGTTCACCTGTCCGGCGCTGCAGGAGCGTGAGCAGTAGATCTGTCCCTGTTTGGGCAGAAAGGGTCGCCCCAGGAGGGAGCGTTTACAGCGGGCACAGCAGAAACACTCCTCTGTGGCATGCCAATGCTGCCCGTCATACGTCATTTGGCCCTGGTCAATGCCTGGGGAGAGGATTAGATCCTGGCATTAGAATTAGAAATAATACTTACTACTAATAAGGTGTCAGTGTCGGGATATCACAAAATGAGTCTTAATGATCACAGAAAATTGGAGGCTTGAACTTTGGATGAAAGAATACTGGCATACGGTATATCAGTAGCATTACCGTCAGTCTAACTGACTGGCTGAAACCCATTATCTACAGTGAGAGACTGTAACATTCCTCAGTAATGAGCTGAGCCAAGCACACAGTCTCTGAAGAGCCTGCTCAGAGTCCCAGCTAATCTGTAAAACATGAGCCTACAAAATATTTTAATGATATTTACTGGAAGAAGAAATTAAATATAGCACAAACACTGTGTTTTATTTCCCAGAAGGTTGATATTGTGATTTTACCCAAAACTGCGATTATGCTGTCTGTATAATAACTCAATAAATAACTCACTAAAAATACATTTATTGGAGGCCCTCCTCCTAAACAAAGGGAACTAATCATCTTTCACAGGCTCCATCTGGACACAACATGGCGTCCTCTGGGTCTGAATGGTTCACAGTTTCCCTCTGTCTAACTGAATCCTGGGCAGCAGATAATAACCACCTTCATTTCCCTAGCCAGCCATGTCTTAGCACAGCTGTGTGCTGCACAGGGGTCGTAGTTTTCTGTTCTGTTCTGCTATCGACTGACAACTGCTATACAAATGACTTTTACAGTAATTTGGTATGTAATGTATTTTTTTCCGGTTATATGCTTTAGTCATGAATAATTGAAGCTATTGATTTCTATCTCAGATTTTATGACTGTTCGCACTTAACGACCACAGGTTTTTTGAATGGCTCCATTAGGTTATCGTCACTGGTAAAACATGTTAATGAAATCAGTTGAAACATGGAGAGATGGAGGTAGAGACACAGAGAGAGACAAAGGGAGACTGATGGTATGTGGGAACAACACAGTCATAGAGACTAGAAAACAGGGGGCAAGATACATGTAAAAGGAGAGACTAAGCGCGTTTCCATCCATTCTTTTTATGCAAGTAAAGTCATGCAGTTTATCAGGTTACAGATGAAATAAGTTATGATGAACTTCACAGAGTGTTGAAAGTGCACAGTGATCTTGATGCTCCTTTCAATAAGTATCAAGGGTCTTATTCTGGTGACATGATGATTGATGCTTGACTGCTATTTGACAAATATTCTCCATAATAAAACTATTGGTAGAGTTGAAAATGTGATGGATACATATTGAACTTTAGATTTGTATTCGGTACATAAAAACGTAAGTGAAAAAGTGCATTTTGTGTGCACTATGTCATCACGCACTATTTTCTATTCACAAGTCTGTTGGGTGGAAACACCACTGGTGGGAAAATGCGCTTATTTTCTATATGCGGATTTTAGAATATTCACATTAAAATCTGTCACCAATTGGATGGAAACCTAGCTACAGAGAGTGAGAAAGGGAGAAAAATAGGTCAAGGGAATAAGAAATGGTAAAAAGGAAACCAGGGATGGATATAAAGTCAACAAGAGAGACTTAGAGAGATGGAGGAAGAGAGTAGCAGTTACATAGAGGTAAAGATAGATGAGCAGGCGAGTTTTGAAGAACATAGCATCGTTACATGATTTTTTTATTAAACATACAATCTGATAATTACAAAGGAGAATAGGAAATAAACTGATTGAAGTGACATCAATAAGGGATCATAGCTTTCACCTGGATACACCTGGGCAGTCTATGTCATGGAATGAGTTCCTAATGTTTTGTACACTCAGTGTATGTATACATCATGTTCAGGAAACATCTAGAACCATTTACCTATGTGTTCACCGCAGGCGTCGCAGTACTCTGCGTAGAGGGACTCAAAGCAGTTGCAGCAGTGTGGACGTCCATCCTTCATAATGTAGCGCTGGCCGCCCAGCGGAGCCTCACACTCATAGCAGCAGAAGTGCTTCATGTGCCAATGCCTGCCCTCCGCCTCCGTGCATTCATCAGCAAAGATAATCTAAAGCAGAGAACGAGAAAGAGAGAGAGAGAGAGAGAGAGAGAGAGAGAGAGAGAGAGAGAGATAGTGAGAGTGAGAGAGAGAGTGAGAGAGACAGACCATATATCACAATCATCAGCAAAGAGAATCTAAAGCAAATAGAGAGAGACCAAAATCATCAGCAAAGATAATTAAATATAATATGCAGGAGAGACAGAGAACAGACTGTCAAACCATAGACCACTAGAGAGGGTGAGAGATACACACCAAGCAGAGACAGATTCTTACCAAGTTAAGATCACACACATGTTAGAATTAGCAGAAAAATGACTTAGTCAAACCCAGCAAGACTTCCTCAGAGCTGGATAACTGAGATGTGGAAGGTGAGACTCCTCAACACTCCATACCCCCTAAACCCCATCTCACCCTGAGCTCTAGCTAACCCAGCCGACCACCCCACCACCCCATTCCTCTAAGCTCAGGCGGGCTTACTTCATCGCAGGCACAGCAGCGGGGTTTGAGCCTCTCGGCATGGTGCCGGCCGCAGTAGATCTTCCCTTCTTGGTGGAAGTAGATGAGGTCCACCAGGAGCTCCTCGCACATGCAGCACACGAAGCAGTGAGGGTGCCACACCAGGCCGTGGCCTGCCCGCGATGCAAACACCACAATGTCTCGTCCATTTATCTGGCCCCCACACTGAGAGAGAGAGAGAGAGAGAGAGAGAGAGAGAGAGAGAGAGAGAGAGAGAGAGAGAGAGAGAGAGAGAGAGAGAGAAGGAAGGGAGGCAGGGAAGAGAGGAAGAGGGGGCAAGATATAAATAGATGGAAAGAGTTAGAAAGTAAGAGTCAGAGAAAATACATGTACAGAGGGGGAAGGAAGAAGGAGGGGGAGAGAAGAGGAGGGGGAGAGAGAAGGAGGGGGAGAGAGAGGGAAGGGGAGAGAGAGACGGAGGGGGAGAGAGAAGCCAGTTTCGATATGAATAATCCAATGTTTCTAAATGTGAAGAACAGATCTGAGTAGCAAGCTGACTTTATTTTCAAATATAAATTAGATTTGCTGTAGCATGGATTTTATCCCATTTGCACCATCCCCTAGTGGTGCCCTCTATGTATCTGCTCTTTGTGCTGTAGGATTTATGTGATGTTTGTTTTGTGTCAGCAGTGAGTACCTGTTCGCAGATGGCTCCACTGATGGACAGCGGGAAGGGGCGGACGTTGCCTCTTCCCAGGTTGTCCCTCTTTCTCTGGTTACTGAAGAGCTTGAGCTCCCTCTTCTCCTCGTCGTCCAGCGTGTTGCAGTATCGGACCTGACGACCAAACCAACACACAATTTTTTCACCCATATCAAAAATATCAGACATCGCTGCGTGAATGTGTCAAAGGTCACTAGACACAGAGTATCAGGTAAACTAGTGTGTCACCTCGTTGTCGTGTGGGGGCAGCTGGTGAATCAGCTGTTTGATGCGATGCTTTTCTCCTGGGCTGTTCACATACGGCACCCTGTCCTCAGGTAGAGAACCATAGTACTGATGCACCTGACAGGGACATAAACCACAACACTCTGGCTTTAGTCTCACAATACGCTAAGGGTCTAAGTTCAGCATAGTTGTCACGGATTCTGCCGAGACTGCCCTTCCTTCTGGCTCGGGCAGGCTTCGGCGTTCGTCGTCACCAGAGTACTAGCTGCTGCCGCTCTATGTTTTATGTTTCTATGTTCATCTAATTGTTGTCTGTTGTTGCACACCTGTTCCCTATTATGTTATTTGGTCTTCCCTATTTAACCTGTTCACGTCCACTGTGTGGTGTGTGCGTTTGTTGCTTGTACGAGTGTCATTTGTGAGCGGGTTTGCTCCTCCCTTGTGTGGAGGTTTTGTTTGTATTTTCTTTACTATTCAGTAAAGTGGATCTTCATTTTCATTCTGTGTCCTGCGCTTGACTCTGGCCTACCGCATTCTACAGACATTCGTGACAATAGTGAATGATAGCATCTTCTACAGCCTTGGTACATGTTTGTTTTTGCACTCAACGATTGTTGATTTTTTGTAATGACTGGATTGATAGATTGGCTTGTCTGATCCTTCCTGAAGTAGGCCATGTGCCTAGCCATCATTATAAACTTTACTATCTCTGTAAATTGAATGGTAAAATGTCTGTCAATTAAAAACAAACGTTAAAGAGCCCTCCCAGATTAACTTGAAACTAGCAGTTTCTAAATAATTCATAATGGGCTTCATATTCTGCTGTGTTGGTTATTGTCCTCAACCAGCCTTGGGAACAACATCTTGAACTAGGAACAGCGCTTGTGGCTCTGCAGCAGATGCAGCCTTGGAGAGCAATGGTCTCTTTCATTGCCAACAGTGTTTTGTAGAGTCCCAACTGTAGGCCCTTATTCTGCTTAGCTTTATTAGTCCATACAGGATGGAAATGTGTCCTCTGCTTTTTATCCAACACATAAGTTCCTTGCTCAAGGGAACGTCAGCAGTAGGTGTCACCTGTGACATCGATGCCAGCAACCCTCCAGTTGCTAGCTTACTCCCACCAGAGTTTTGCCCTTGTCAGCAGTGGGATTTGAACTGCCAACCTTCCAGTTGCTGGCCCGCTTCTCTACCCTCAAGGCTACCGCAGCCCCCATAGTGATGGGAAAATAAAAAAGTATCTATGATTTCTGAATGCCTGTAGGCTACAATCAAAATAATTACAGGCATTCAGTAAAACTTGCTGAGCTGAAGTCACTTCAGATAATTATTCTCCAAGAACACAACGATTTTATGGTACAATTAAAGTTTTGTCACACCTCAATGATTTGCAACATAATCCTTGACACATACAGAGCAGATTTAAAGTAAAATCATTGTGTGGCTCACACCTAACATTGCACAAAATAAATGAGGGCCTTCCAATCCTCTAGAAAACAGCCATCTAGTCAACAGCAGGCGCTAAACTTAGTTATAGGTCACAATCATCCAGCAGGCTGGATTGCCTTCATCTCCCGTTGGTTCAGAGAAAGGCCACAGCCTCCCTCAGCATCCTGTCAAGATGGCTGACTGGAGAAAATAACTATCATCAGCCCTGCCTGTCATCTATTAACAGAGCTCCTGGAGGGAGGGTGGGAGGGAAGGAAGCATGGAAGGAAGGAAGGAAGGGTGGGTGGGAGGGAGGGGAAGGGAAGGAAGGCTGGGAGGATGGGAGAGAGGGAGGGAGCGAGGGAGGGAGGGGTGGTAGGAGGAAGGGAGCGTGGCAGCATCGCATCACAGGTCCCACTGTGCAGCACTTTACCATGGAGACAAGCAGGAATTATTACTTCAGCCTGATCGACCTGAGAACAAACAAAAGGCTAACTTCTCCCTCCTCTGGACAGCTCCCGTCAACGGAAAGTACTAATCATTTTTATGTCTGTGCTGTTTTCTCTCCGTGGTGGAAGTTTTTGTTTCGGTTTGTTCCAATTTGGGGGGTAAGGTGTGACAATCCAGATAGAATAAAAACATAACAATCCAACAAACAACATTAAATTCTATAATTTATAATACACAACTTCATTACACCACTGAAACCAAAAGAGGCGCCATCATTTCATTACTTTCATAATTTTATGTCGTTCAGACGATATATTTCACAGATTATCCTTCAGGTCATCTTCATGGTTTGGTCATGGTTAAGCCACGGTTGTCATTACGTTGGGCTCTGAAGTCTCTGCTCACATGGTGTCGTCTCAACAGTGACAGTTGAGTAATTTCTTCACATTTGCTGAAATGTTTGACAGCTAATATGCTATGCTTGGCTCTCTCTCTCTCTCTCTCGCTCTCTCTCTCTCTCTCTCTCTCTCTCTCTCTCTCTCTCTCTCTCCTCTCTCTCTCTCTCTCTCTCTCTCTCTCCTCTCTCTCTCTCTCTCTCTCTCTCTCTCTCTCTCTCTCTCTCTCTCTCTCTCTCTCTCTCTCTCTCTCTCTCTCTCTCTCCTCTCTCTCTCTCTCTCTCTCTCTCTCTCTCTCTCTCTCTCTCTCTCTCTCTCGCTCTCTCTCTCTCTCTCTCTCTCTCTCTCTCAGAAACGTTTGTTTGCAATTACAGAGATCATACGTTTCCTGTAGGTCTTGACCAGGTTTGCACAAGTATTTGATACCCTGCCGATTTTGCAGGTTTTCATACTTACAAAGCATGTAGAGGTCTGTAATTTTTATCATAGGTACACTTCAACTGTGAGAGGCGGAATCTAAAACAAAAATACAGATATATACATATATATACATATATATATATACACATAGTGGGGAGAACAAGTATTTGATACAGCTTATACTTACTATCTACATTTTATGGACACAGTCAATTTTACAAGAATTATATTTTGTTTGTTTTTTCTCCTTAACTTCTTCTACTCTCAACCTCTCCGATTATTTTCATGATGTCCATCCGGTTTGCTTCTATATGCCATATCTTTCTAACTGTGCTCTTTCACAAAAGCTCCCAACCTACAACCTATATACTTATTATGGACACAGTATGCTTACATTTTTAGTTATCTTTTTATTATTTGTTGTTAGTTGTTATTAGTCCCATCCTTCAATTCCATTCAACACCTCCCATCTATCTCTTAACACCATCCATATATGATTTCTATTTGCCATATATATACTGTACTGTGATGTCTTACAAAAGTTCTGAACCTTTCTATTCTCATTGTTTCTACAGATTGTGAATTGAAAATAAACATTTTTGCTAAAAGTATTATTATATTATTGATCAATTGACTATTACTTTTCAGATCACCCAGTAATGTTATCTGCAAGGTTAGCTCCAGGTAAATTTTGCAATCCTTTAGCCATTCCTGGACCTGTATCCAAAAACAAGCTACAAATGGACAGTACCAAAACAAATGATCTAATGATTCTGTCTCTTCGCAGCTAAATCTGCAGAGCTGGGAAGATTGTATCCCCCATATAAATAACATTATATTGGTAGCAAGAATTTTAAATAATAATTTATATTGAAAGATTCTATGTTTTGAATCCGGTGTTGTTTTGCGTATCAGTTCATAAACACTATGCCATGGGATCGGTACGTCACAAATCTCTTCCCAACTATTTTGCAATCTGTATGGGACGGCTGTCAATCCTTTGGTCCTTAAATGAAACTGATATACTTTTTAATTTATCACAGTTTTCCTTAACCAATTATGTTCTTTAATGCAAAGCCGACAGACAAGTTCCTTATTTTCTCCCCCTTCCACTTTCCTCTTCCATTTTTGCGGTAAGGCTGCAATTATTTGGTTGTAATTTTGGGTAGAGAAGACATTTCCATATGTTTTTGTTAGCTGCATAACTCCACCAGTCCTACTGATGATATCATTTACGAAGATTATACCTTTTTTAAACATTTAGTCAATTAGTATATTTGAGTTTAACCACAATATCTGTTGCATTATTTGTTCTGTAGTTTCTGGAGGATTAAATTGAAATTGCAACCAACTTTCTATGGCTTGTTTTAGAAATAGTGAAATTTGGGAGATGATTTCCTTTTCAAATAACTGAAAGTGAGTGGTTGTAATCTGAATAAAGGGAAAAAGGCCATTCTTGAACATTGGGTGAGACAATTTTACTAATTTGCTAGAGAACCAGTTCGGATTTAAGTATAACTTTTGTATGACTGAAGCTTTTAGTGATAGGTCTAATGCTTTAATACTTAATCATTTCTGTCCGCCGAATTCATTCATTATATAAATAGGCCCGTTTAATTTTGTCTGGCTTGCCGTTCCAAATAAAATGGAATATTTTTTCTCATATAATTTAAAAAACTGTTCGCTAGGCGTAGGCAAGACCATAAGCAAATAACTGGGATAATACTAAAGAGTTAATCAGGGTGATTTTTCCACAAATTGACAGGTATTTACCTTTCCATTGTAGCAAGATCTAATCTATGTTTGCTAACTTTCTATAAAAATGTATTGAAGTGAGATCATTTATTTCCTTTGGGGTATGTATTCCGAGTATATCCACATCACCATCAGACCATTTTATTGGTAAACTACATGGTAATGTAAATTTTTAATTTTTTAGTGATCCATTACGTAATATAGTACATTTGTCATAATTTGCTTGTAATCCAGAGAGGTTAGAAAATGTATCTAGATCCTCGATGAGGCTGTGGAGGGATTCAAGTTGTGGATTTAAAAGAAAACATGAATCTTCAGCGTACAATGACACCTTTGTTTTTAAGCCCTGGATTTCTAATCCCCTGATATTATTGTTGGATCTGGTTTTAATAGCTAACATCTCGATGGCCACAATAAATAGATATGCCGATAGTGGACAACCTCGTTTCACTCCTCTTGATAGTTTAAAACTTTCTGAGAAATAGCCATAATTTACTATTTTACACCTAGGGATACTATACATGATTTTGACCCATTTTATAAGAGATTCTCCATAATTGAAATGCTCCAGGCATTTATATATAAACCCCAGTCGTACTTTATCAAATGCCTTTTCGAAGTCTGCTATGAATAGCAGGCCTGGTTTCCCAGATTTTCCATAGTGTTCTATTGTTTCCAATACTTGCCTTATATTATCTCCAATGTATCTTCCATGTAAAAAACCTGTCTGATTAGAATGAACAATATCCGACAATACCTTTTTAACTCTATGCGCTATACATTTTGCTAGAATTTTTGCATCACAACACTGAAGTGTAAGGGGCCTCCAATTTTTTTAATGGACTGGATCTTTATATTTTCCACTTGTATCCTGTTTCAGTAATAATGAGATCAGACCTTCTTCTTGAGTGTCAGATAATCTACCATTTACATAGGAGTGGTTAAAACATGCTAATAACGGTCCTCCGAGTATATCAAAATAGGTTTGGTATACCTCGACTGGTATGCCATCCAACCCTGGAGTTTTCCCGGACTTAAAGTCTTTAATTGCATCCAGAAGTTCCTCCTCTGTAATTTCACCTTTACATGAGTCTTTCTGTATAGCTGTTAATTTTACATTATCAATAGAAAAACAATGCCTACAATTAGCTTCAGTTAGAGGAGATGGAGGCGACTGAAACGAAAACATATGCTTAAAATACTTTGCTTCCTCCTTCAAAATATAATTTGGTGAATCATGGATGACTCCGTCATTTGTAACCAGTTTCAGTAAATTATTTTTGGTAGCATTTCTATGTTGAATATTTAAAAAGGATTTGGTGCATTTTCCCCCATATTCCATCCAGTTTGCTTAATTTTTTATAATATATTACACTTGATCTTTCTTGAATAAGTTTCTCCATTTCTTTTAGTTTTTCCTCTAATTTATTCTAAGCCTCTATGTTACAGTTTTTATTGCCATCTATCTGTTCTGTTAGAATTTCTATTTCCTTTGTTAGTATAAACTCTTTTGACCTAAATGACAAAACGGACGCTGTTGTCTGGCTAATCATCCTGAGCTAGGCCCATCTCCCGGCTATCTACCTCTCTGTCAACCGGACGGGACCACCTAGTGTTGACACGGAGCCCCGCCGATCCTACACGAAATCGTCTGATGTGGTTACGACGTTAACCACGAAGATTCCATCCATCTGCTAGCCCTTACTAGCCCCTGCTAACCCTCTTACTCACTAGCGCTTCACCACCGGACCTTATGATAACTCAGCTATACAGCTGATATCTGCTGGACTGTTCCTTTTTACGGTACTACATCCTGTTTATGTTTAGCCTCAGCCCAAACATGGTTAGTTTATTGTTGTTTCGGTTATTTCTAATTGTACTATATCACTGTAGACCCCCCAGCCTAGCTAAACCTGCCTTAGATAGCTATTTTGTCCCTCCCCCCATACACTCAGAGACCGACTCAATTGATGCCTCTTGAGATACTATCTCTTTCATTGTTACCCAACGCTTAGGTTTACCTCCACTTTACTCATATCCTTCCATATCCTTGTCTGTACATAATGCCCTGAATCTTTTCTATAACACCCGGAAATCTGCCCCCTTTATTCTATGTACCCAACGCACTAGAAGACCAGTTCTTAAAGCCTTTAGCCGTATCCTTATTCTAGTCCTCCTCTGTTCCTCTGGTGATGTAGAGGCTAACCCAGGCCCTGCAGCCCTCAGTATCACTCCTACTCCCCAGGCGCTATCATTTGATGACTTCTGTAATCGCAAAAGTCTTGGTTTCTTGCACATAAATATCAGAAGTCTACTTCCTAAGTTTGAGTTATTCACTGCGTTAGCACACTCTGCCAACCCTGATGTTCTAGCAGTGTCTGAATCCTGGCTCAGGAAGGCCACCAAAAATTCTGAAATTTCCATCCCCAACTATAACATTTTCCGTCTAGATAGAACTGCCAAAGGGGGTAAAGTTGCAATCTACTGTAGAGATAGCCTGCAGAGCTCTATCATACTATCCAGGTCTGTGCCCAAACAGTTTGAGCTTCTACTTCTAAAAATCCACCTTTCCAGAAATAAGTCTCTCACTGTTGCCGCTTGCTACAGACCCCCCTCAGCCCCCAGCTGTGCCCTGGACACCATATGTGAATTGATTGCCCCCCATTTATCCTCAGAGTTTGTACTGCTTGGTGACCTAAATTGGGATATGCTTAATACCC